CCCCAAATGTAAATCAGCAGGCAAAAAAGGAAACAGGCACACTTTTATATCCTGCCTTCTTCCATGTACTCACTGGGTGGGGGGCTGGGGGAGAAGTCCACCTGAAAAGAAGTCCTTGCCAGCTGGTAGCAGGTTCCAGCCTCGGGGACGCAGGAAGGGGATGCTAAGAGGCGAGTTTTCCTTGTCTGGCTTGAACCAAGGGCCCAGACCTCCGTCCTTGGGTGACTGCTCCCCCAGACAACTTCTCAGGGATGGTAATGTGGGACCCAGACCATGCAAGCCACCTCACTAGCTGCAGACGCTTTCTTGGAAAAAGGAGCGCTCCTCTCACAGGCGAACAGAGAGCTCAGCTTCACCACTTAGTGACTCAGGAGGGACAGAACAGAAAAGGGGCCTGTGTCAGTCGCCCCATGGTCAAAGGCAAATGAATAATTTGGTCAACGCCCATGTTGTGCCATGTGTGAGGTGCTGGTCATTAGGTGCTTGCTCAGTATCTGTACCCCTTCTAAGAGTTCAATGTAAATTGGCTCATCTCATCCTTATGAGTTACCAGTGACAGTTTCTCCCATTTGACAGATGAGAAAACTGAGGCTCAGAGAAGTTCAGAAAAGGTTGTGGTGAGCTGGTCAGTAGGGTCGATTTCAGAGTCAGGCAGTTTGACTGTAAACATACAGTCTCTGCCTTTGCCATCGATCAGTGTATTTCTCTGACTCTCAGTGTTTCCGGGGTGCGGAATCTAACTAAACTTGTTGTTGTTGTTGTTATGTGCTGTGGAGTCGGTTCCGACTCATAGTGACCCTGTACAGGGTTTCTGAGGGTGTACATCTTTACGGGAGCAGAAAGCCTCATCTTTCTCCCACTGCTGACCCTGAGGTTAGCACCCCGATTCGTAACCACACGCTATCAGAGTTCCTAACTAAACTTGGCGATGTCCAAAGTTCAAAACTGAGCCTGTGTTTGTCAGACTGAGGCTAAACTTCCTCTGGCCTCTCCCCACGGTTCCTCCCTCTACCCTCCATCTGCGACAGGACCTGGTCTCTGTTTCTGCGTCAGGGCAGCTCAGTGGTTCATTTGAATGGAAACATTTTGCCTGGAATAGCAGAGCACTGGACTGGAAAGTGCTGAGGGAGCCGGTGTAGGTTCAGTCACTAAGAAGCTGTGCGGTCCTACACAAGTCACATCCCCGTTCAGGGTCCATGTCTTCTCATCTGGGAAGCACAGGATGTGGGTCTGACAGTCCCTTGTACACCAGATTCCCCGAGAGAAAAGTGAGAGGTTGGATAGCTTGCCCAATGTCACACAGCCATCCATGGAAGAACTACAGTCAGTCCTGAAAACTATTGCCACCGGATCTTCTGGGGTTGCCGTGAAGAGGAATTGACTTGATGGCTGCTGACAACAACAGCTACAACATAGCCCTCAACAATCACAATGGGTCAGTGTTGTTGATAAGCGCCGTTTAATCAATTCTGACTCATAGCAACCCTGTCTGTAGAGGATTTCCGAGGAGCGACTGGTGGGTTTGAACTGCTGACCTGCTGGTTAACAGTCCAGTGTTGATCCCACAGTGTCACATGGAGGTGTTTCTTCATCTCCCTGGAGAAAGCAGTTGATTGTTTCCTGTTGCCCAGGCCAAGGTGCCAGGAGTGGTGGAACCCTTCTCCCCACTTTCAACATTGGCCCCGCTCCAGGGGAAGGGCGGTGACCCAATGTTTTAGTTCTGCTTCCTCTAGTCATGGCTGGATGGGTCAGTGCTGTAAGCATGTCATGTTTGGGTGCTAGCAGCCTTCACCCCGACCTATCATGAGGAGGTGGCCCCAAGCAGAGAAGGTCTGTCTTTGGTAATGCCTGGGTTGTGTGGCCACCCACTCCGTAGGTAATGAAACTTGTCAGTGAGTGAACAGAAAAGGAACAGCTGGAAAGAGGTAGGAGTGCGTGGATGACCATGACACTCCCTGTCCCCCCATGACCATGCTCTCCCTCTGCCCCTGCCCACCCAACTCCTTTCTCTCTGGGCCCCGCTCGGGGTGCTCAGAAGGCTCCCTCAGACCCTCCGTCCTTCAAGGTTAGCTCTCTTCTTACTCCCTCCAAAAAGCATTCTTAGATCTCTTTCATTGTCTGCCTGTGGTGGTTGAAATGCTGGTCCCAAACACGTTCACACAAATCAGAGACCCTGTGAGTGTGGCCTCAATTTGAAAGAGTGTCTTTGCAGATGTAATGGAATGGTGGGCTCTAGATGAGATCGCCTGGACCATACAGCTGAACCCTAAGTCGAATGATGACTATTTCTGTAAGAGAAATCAGAGGGCTATTTGAGACACAGAGCAAAGACGATGACATGACCACAGAGAATGCCAAGGAGCCGGAAGAAGCTGGAAGAGGCAAGGCAGGCGTCTCCCCTAGAACCTCCAGAGGAAGTACATACCTGCCAACACCGTCACTTTGGCTGCTGGTCTCCATCACTATGAGAGAATAGGTTTAAGTTGTTTTAGCTGCTCGGTTTGTTCTAGCAGCCCTTGGAAACTGATGCACTGTGGAATCAGACCAGGGAACAGAAGAGGGATACTGGAGCCACACAGAAGAGGCTCCAAATCTACCCAGCACCCGCTGCGTGGTATTTGGGAAGGCTGTGTAGTCTCTCAGCCTCAGATTCCTCATCTGCAAAAAGGACACGAGCACACCTACCTTTTAGGGTCAGGTTTTTGTTTGTTTCCTAGCAGTAGTATTGAGGTATAAGTCACATGCCACACCATTCACCCACTTCAAGTGCGCAGTTCAGGGGGTCTCAGGATACTCACAGAGGTGTGTGACTTCTTCCACAATCACGTTTGCTGCACCTGCATCACCTCCAAAACATCCCTCTACCCATTAGCTGTCACTCCCCAATCCCCTGACAACACTCTACCTCAGCCCTAGGCCAATGCTAGTCTTCTTTCTGTCTTTTTGGATTTGACTATTATGAATCATCCCATGTGGTCCTTTGTGACTGGCTTCTCTCACTTAGCATAATGGTTTCATAGTAGCATGCATTAGCACTTTATCCCTCTTCATGACTGAGAAATATTCCATCACATGGGTGGACCATGTTTCATTTATCTGCTTATCCAGTGATGGACATGTAGTTTGTTGCCTGCTTTTGGGCTATTATGAATAATGCTCCTATGAACATTTGTGTACAAGTTTGTTTTTTTAATGTTTTATTGTGAATTATGTGATAGTTTACATGGGAGAACATTAGCTTTACATTCATCCTATCGTTTATCGTTTCATAGCCATGGTTACAATCCCCTCCATGCATCATCAAACAACCAAAGGGTATACCCTTCAAGCCTGCCCCCCGGTCATCAGCACACAGCCCCTCTCCCTCTTTGGGTCTAGAGTCCCCAGCTGCTCCATCTCTCCACATCTTCTCTGCCTCCATCTCTGGCGTCACTGCTTCTCTGGGTAGGGTCTCACACTTTGCTCTTCTCCCTTGATGGTTCCAGGAACCTCAGCTCCTAGACTGCATAGTCAATCACTCCCCTCCTTTTGCTACGAAATGTCTACCTTTACATTTCCAACTCTCACAGTCAGTCCTGATAACCATTATTCACCATGGTACCACAAGGGACCTCTCCCCATCTCCTTTCATGTGTACAAGTTTTTGTGTGAACATATCCAGGGTTGTTGTGAACGTTAAATGAGGTAACAGCTAAAGTATTGGATATGGCATTCAACACTGGTAATGTGAGGATTGTGGGACTCTGCTCATGTATGTTATCAGGAGGGACCCTTCCCTGGACAAAGACCCCATGCTTAGTAAGGTAGAGGGTCGGTTAGAAAAGGAAGTGCCTCAATGAGATGCATTGACAGTGGTTGCAACAATGGGCTCAAGCACATCATGGCTCTAAGGATGAACCAGGTAGTGTTTTGTTCTGTTATATTTAGGATCACTATGGGTTGGAACCAACTTGCAGCACCTAAGAACAACAACAATGACTATTATCAGAGAGCTAGGGACATCTTGGAGGACTAAAGAGGTTTTCGAGTTCTGGTGTGGCACTATAGGATAAGCACGAGACTGCTAACCTCAAGGTTTCGTAGCCACCACTTGGAAACCCTATACAGGGTCAAAATGAGTTGGAACCAATTATAACAACAACAACAACAACAATAGGGGATCTTAGGAATGCTGGTGGCATAGTGGGTTACAGATTGGGCTGCTAACTGCAAGATCAGCAGTTCAAATCCACTAGCCTCTCTTTTGGAGAAAGATGAGGATTTCTGCTCCCATAAAGATTTACAGTCTCAGAAACCCTACTCAGGGTTTCTGTGAATCAGAACTTACTCAAAGGCACCTAACAACAACAGCAGGGGGTCCTTAGAATCTTCACTGTCCCCTTCAATGTATAGATTAGGAAACTGAGGCATAGAGAGAGAAGGGGTCAGAGACTTGCTCAAGGTCACCCAAGGCAGCAGAACATCGCAGTTAATGCAGGTCTTTCAGTCAGACTGCCCAGATTAAAATCCTGGTTCCACTTGGAGCTGGGCAACCATATGTAAGTCACCTCCCTTCTCTGGACCTCTATCTTCTCATCTATAAAATAAGGATAGTAACAGTACCTGCCTTTCCTGTTGTTTATGTGAGAATTGAAGGTACCAGTCTGTGTCCTTGGCACACAGTAGGTGCTCATCGGTCTTAGCTGTTAAATGGCAGAGCCAGATGTGGAACCTAGCTCTGCTCCAGGTGTGGTTGAATATGTACTCCCAGACTTTCTTCTGTGTCATGGACATCTTACCAAGGTGACTATAAATTCCTTGGAGGAGAGCAATGAGGCTTCCTCTCCTTTTGCCCTGGGCACATTCGAGCCTGAGCCAAGTGTGTACCTTTCTTTGCTGTCACCCTGGAGATTACCCTGCCTGGCTTGGAACCATTGTAGGTGTTATTTCTCTGCATCCTTCCAATTCCCATGAGATGGCTGAGTCTCTTCTCCCTTTCAGACAGTGGGCAGAGTGCCACCATGGAGTGGGGTCTGCTCGAAGGTGGGTACCTGGACCTTCTCAACAGCAGCATTGACCCCTGGCAGCTCTACCACCGCTGTGACCAGAGGGACCTGGCTGCAGATGAAACTGACCTCTGCTCAGGTGGGTCCCCTCCCAGCTGCCTTCCCACCCTTCGGTTGCAGAGGAAGCAGCCAGCGCCAGGGGAAGGACAGAGCGCCACCGTCAGCACTTCGGACAGCTCCCCACGGCACCGCCTCCTTCCAAATGGACTTCCCAGCCCCCATTGCGCCCTTCCTACCCTCCTGCCCCACCAGCCCTCTTTCCGGGTCTTTCTGGCCTTACCCAAGGGCCTTTTCCTCCCAGAGCCTGACACGGACACCATCAACTGTGACCAGTTCAGCAAGCTGTTGAGGGAGATGGAAGGTGATGAAGAGACCAGGGAGACCTATGCCAACATTGGTGAGGAAGCACATGCATCCGAAGAAGGGGCAATTGAGGGAAAGAGGATTGTTTCTCTGTTGTTACTTTCTGTTCCTCATGAGGAGTCCTGGTGCCCCTCTGTAGATCTGCACTAGATGGCTAACTACAAGCTTGGCGGTTCAAACCCACCAGCCACTCCTTGCAAACCCTACACAGGCTCTCTATGAGTCCGAATTGACTCGACAGCACTTAACAGTAACAGCAATTCATCATGAGGATCCTGGTATAGTGCTGTATGATAAGCACTGGACTTCTAACCAAAAGGTTGGCTGTTCAAACCCTCCAGCCACTCCTCAAAAACCCTATACAGGTTTGCTATAACTCAGAACTGACTAAACGGCGCTTAACAACAATAACAATTCATCATGAAAGAAGCCCTGGTGGTGCTGTGGGTAAAGTACTGGACTGCTCACAGAAAGGTTATCAGTTCAAACCCGCCCACCGTCAGGACAAAGATGAGGCAGTCTGCTTCTGTAAAGATTTACACTCTTGGAAATCTTAGGCAACAGTTCTCTGTCCTATAAGATCATTATGAGTTGGATTTGAGTGTATGGCAGTGGATTTGGTTATTCACCATGAGCCATGACAGGCCCCTCCTACAGAAATCAGGGCACACTGAGCAAGAGCTAGAAGAATGGAGGCTCCAGGGAAGAAGGGAGATTCAGCCAAACCCAAAACCAAACCCAAAGTCCATTCGAGTTCTAGCAACCCAGTTGGAGAGTAGAACTGCCCCCATTGGGTTTCCAAGGATGTAAATGTTTACGGAAGGCTGCTGGGTTCGAGCTGCTGACCATTTGGTTAGCAGTAAAGCACGTAACCACAGTGCCACCAGGGCTCCTTAGGCTGAGCGCAGGAGAAATAGGCCCCTTCACTAATGATCCCACTACCCATTTGGTCCTGGTATGGCGCTGTGGGTTAATGCGCTGAACTGCAAAGTTGGTTTGAACCGCAAGGTCAGTGGTTCAAACTCACCAGCTGCTCCTCGGAAACCCCATGCAGGGTCACTATGAGTCGGAACTGACTTGACGGCATTTAACAACAACAACAACCCATTTCTAGGCCCTTTTTTATTCCTTGCTTCCTTTTCCTTCCTGCAAATCCCAAACTGTACACGTACCCTGTCTTTCTCTCCAGCTCCTAAGCCAAATTGCTCCAGTATATGTAGCAACGACCACTTACTGGGCATTCAAAAGCCAGCTGTTGTCCAGTCCATTTGGACTCATGGCTGCCCTATGATTACCTTGTGCCCCTTGCGAAGCATGCGTTTAACTCACTGAGTCTGTGCAACAACAAAGGAAGCAGATGCTACTACTATCCCAGTTTACGGATGAGAAAATGTAGGTGCAACAACGTAAAGCATCAAAGTTAGCAAGTGGCAGGTCTGAAATTCCAGCCTAGGTCTTTTTTACCTCAAAGCACCTGTTTTTAACCACAACAAAAGGTAACTACCTGGGGAGTAGGAAGGCTTGCTAAGGTTGATGGACTGGTTTTGAGTTTTGAAAGAGAGCTACAACTTTCAGACAAGGGCAGAACTCCTTGGGGGAGAAGTGATTTTTTTAGGGGGAGTGCTAGTTACCACTACTTCATACAAAGCCATGGTTGGATTAGAAATGTACCCTTTTTTTCTGGGGGATACAGCCCCAATCAGAATGAATGGCTTGGCTGGATCTCTGTCCCACTTGCTGTCTTTTCTGGGCACCTCTGTGCAGTGATCACCCTACACAATGGTTTTTAGCGGGCCTTTGTCTGACAATGCGGGAACTGCGTCACTCAGAAGGCATGCTCTCTGTGCAAATGTGGCCAGTCTTTCCCCAGCCTACATCTGTTTCAGCATCACACATGGCAGAGAGAGAGAAACAGCACTTACTGTCTCTTTCTCAGAAATTGTAGAACCGAGAACCATCCTGCTTCCTTCCCTTATGGGAATTTCCTTGGAAAAGCAGAAGTGTTTGGGGGCCTAGGGCATTCACATTTCCTTAGGATTTGGGGACTTCTTTTTTTTCCTTTAAGGGCATCTCCACAGGAAGTGGCAGCCACCTAAGAAACTGGAAGTCTACCCTTCTCCGAATTCTGTGGGTTTTCTCTGAGCTCCTAGAAGACCAATCCCTGGCTTGGGCATGCAGTCACTTGTGGTTTTCTGAACTATTTGTTCACTTGGCTTCCATAAGTGTATGACAGATGGTTATGAGTAACTTACTGTGTGAGGGGCCATTTAAAATAGGAGTTTGCACAAAGTAAAGCTTTCAGTAAGTGTTAGGTACCATCGCCACCACCACCATCATCATCATCACCATCTCCACCATAATTCCATTCCTCAGCTCAGAAACCCTCCGTGGCTCCCCATTACCTATAAAACCAAGTCCTAACTTCTCCCGACATGAAGCTGCTGCTGCCGTCTCCAGTTCCTCAGAGATTCTCAAACACACCCTGAACACCTTCTCTCCTTCTGTCCCCCCTGTCCAGAAAGCCCTCTGCTCTCCACCTCTCAAACACACTGTAAACACCTTC